GTTGGCAGCGATTGATTAAAAAAATAGTATTAAATCTATTAATAAGATTAAAATGTTGTTATGTTTGGCAGAGAGAGAGAGAGAGAGAGAGAGAATGATAATATACATATTAAATAGAAATATGAGCATGTAATCAAGGTTCCGGTTGCGATATCTAATAGCCTTCGCTATAATTTTCATAAATACTATTATAATGACATACAGTGTATACACACACAGAATATTCTGGACATTATTATTATGTGTCGCTTAAATGAATGCCGTTTCGCAATAGTAATGTGTAAATACATAGGAGACATAATATTGCCGTTATTACCATTCTGGAATTAAGTATATAACACATAATATATCGTGGTTATAGTGACCATCACCAGGTTAACATCACCAGGAGTGGGCAGATGTAAGGGTTAGCAAGTTTGTTAAGGTTCATTTTTATAATTATTATTTGTATTTTTTAAATTTTCAGTTCATTTTTGTTAATAACTTATTAAACAATAATAATTATCTATTGTATATCGCATAGATTAATCTAGTAAATTGATCTTTGCCATTAATTATAAATAAAAATATTATATATTTCTTAACAATTTAATAGTTTAATTTTTGTTTGGTATAAAATAATATGTTTTTAATTTATAAAGACCATAACTTTTTTGGAAAGGGGGATGGTAAATAAAATTAATGCATTTTATTTTTATTGTTTGATTTTACCATAATAACTCAATACGTCCAATAAAAATGTCCACGATTTCTATGGCCGTTCATTAAACATATACAGCTGTATATAATGTATGTATAAAACTATAGAAATATTATATTTTTATTATATAATGGTATGAATGAGTGAATCCTATATAAAATCAATTTATTAAATGCAATTCATATGAACTATATTTATATAGGAATGAATGCATTGAAAAAATACATGTTTTATTTGCCGATCAAATCTAATATATAATGTATTAATGGATAAAATAAATGAATATTATTGTGAAAATCAAGAAATGAATGACATTTTTGTTGGCAGCGATTGATTAAAAAAATAGTATTAAATCTATTAATAAGATTAAAATGTTGTTATGTTTGGCAGAGAGAGAGAGAGAGAGAGAGACTGATCATGATATTTATTCATGAGATTTGAAGTTTTAATCAATGTTTACGCAAACCTATGGCAAGGAATTCAATTAATCACGGTTGAGACAGTTTTTAATACAAACTTGCTAAAAATAAATAGATTAAAATGTTTTTTAATTTACCTAAAGAATTTTGTATTTACATTAAGTTTTGTTTTTATTTTTATAGCCTAATAAAATTTAATATAAAACTTTCGATGTAAACATTTTAATTGAACTTATTTTATTTTTACATTAAAATAGTTTTAAAATTGATCAACATCCATTTAGATAAAATATATACATGATATATATCTGTATATTAGATAATAGTTTCATAAAAAAATATTTCTCAAATAATATTCAGTTAACATGAATTAACAGCAAATATCTCAACCATTATATAATACAGTCAAATACTAGTATACATTAATGTCACCACAAAAATACATTATTTACGGCTGTCATTGGGATCATTATGCTATACCATTGTCTGCCATATATTAAACCACATACAGACACAATAATTTACCATCACGTAATAAAACGAGCCTATAAACAGCCGGGCCAATCAATTTGGGGCACATGTATAGCGCTGGCAATGCCTGTAATGATCGTCCGATTGAGAGAGAAAGCGATTAAATGCATAAATGATAAAGTTTTGTGTGTTTTTTGTTTTGCTTTTGGGCCCAATATATATATATCTAATGCTAGCAAAAACGTGTGCGAGATATGGTATGTGGTTATCCTATATCTGTGTGTTCACAACTATTCTCTCTCTCTCTCTCTCTCTCTCTCTCTCTCTCTCTCTCTGTCCATAATTCATAAGCATATAGTTATATAATAATATCGCCGACAAAAAGCCATTAACAGCTAAACTCTAGCATTCAATTCAATCGTTTTTATTTTCTCTCATATAATAGTCGAGTGGAGAGAGAAAAAGTTTTTCTGCTTGTTTTGTTGTTGTTTTTTTTCTCAGTGACTATCTCTTTGTGCACTCATTTATTATAGTATCCCATTCTCTCTCCTATGCTCTCTATCTCTCTCAGTGACGATACCATCACATGTATTATACGTATTGTATAACATGTAATATAAATTACAATAAATTATATATTTTTTTCTACTGGTGTTAACTGTACTGATAGTGAGGTTTACTCTAGTTTTTACTGTTTTATATCGTTTACCAGTTTTTGTTGTTTGTTGTGATGATTGCTATTATTTGATAGAAAAACTTAGAGAGAGAGAGAGAGAGAGAGAGAGAGAGAGAGAGAGCAAAATGAAATAGATAATTCAATATACAATAGAAAATACCATAACAAAACAATATCGATGCTTTTTCTCCAGGAAATCATTTATATTAAACATACAAATCGTTTATTATTATAGTTTCACGTCGTCTTCGCCGCCGGTTTTTATTGAATTAAATATAGATTTTATATTTTATTATCAAATCGTATATTACATCTATGTATTTATGCCGTATATATAAAATATACTTACTTTAGTATACTGTGAAACCTGGGATATGTCTGTCAGGTTATTTGTTTAACTTTTGTTTTTCATACCATCCTCACCGATTGCCAATAATATATGAACAAGTTTATTAATGATTGTTTAAATCCGGGTACAAATTGATTTATTTTTAATTAAATTGTACTAGATAATTAATTTACAAAATATATTTAGATTAATTAATACTTTAAATAAATATGATATTAAGTTATGTTTTAAAATAAGTTAAAAATATTTTACCTATGGTAAATAAAATTTTACGACCATAAAATTTTTAGACATTATATCTAAATACCCTAGGAGAATAAAACCAATTGTTAAAATCTACAATGAACATTAACATAAATATCTGACTAAGGTATTCATAGATCATTTATCATGGTAACAGACATAAAACACCACAAGCCTTTCAATCGGCAATATTCAGCCCTTCATATATCATACCTATGGAAAAATACATTAGCAATAAATTTTTACCATATTTTATATTAAATGTTTAACATTTTATTTATTATAGTTTTTGCAGATTTTTACAAAACATTATACAAAGTAATATGTTTTCCATGTATTTCATCCCCCTTCGCATAATCAACACATTTTTAAACAACATTTTCATGTAATAAACATATATTAAAAACTAAACTAAAACATAATAAATGCCAAAATAAAAACAAAACTACCTTTTATGTTTTCAGTGTATGTAATAAACATCAAAACATGATAAATATTTACAGCGCCTGTGTTTTTGCCATTATTTGTATATTTAATTTAAATATAAATGTTATTAAAAATCATAGTTTTATTCAAGAATATTCCCATATCTCAGACCAAACCTTAACAACAATAATAATAATTTACAGAATATTCCGCAGAATTTCAACAGAATATTTTGTTTATTTGTCTATAAAAGTCAAATAAATGTGCACTGGTAGATTAGCGCCCGGATTAAGCATGTTTGTTATTAATTTTTATTACTATGGTTGTTTTTCATGATATTAAATGAATAAAAATAATAATTAATATATGATATGAGAGACCCTTTCGAAATCATAAGCTGTATATTTATGTTAGAAATAAATTTATAACATTTTTAATTAAAAAATAAATTAATAAAAACTTACTGTTTTTAATACATTTAATTGATTCGTGTTTTATGTAATAATTTTAATCTTGTTTTTGCTTTTGTTAATATATTTAACATTAATTTGTTTTTGTTTATTATTCATAATATATTACAAAATATATTTATATGGTATATAAACTAATTTATTTTTGTTGCGCCCATAAAATTTTAATCTCGTTAATTTGATTACAAACACAAAATTGTAGTTTATGTGTCCATAATGCATTTTCATTGTCATAGAATTTTCACTTTTAATTAATTACAAAAAATATTCATATCTTATACATGAGAATTAATTATTTACTATTTACTAATTTTAATACATGTATACAGTAATAACACTATTATATCGTAACAAATACAGGGAAATAGTGGGGACGGGGGGGGTAGGAGACGGGGAACAGAGCCCCCAATTCCCTCAACTCCTTAACCCCCAAATAATCGGCTAATTGTTTATCCATTTAAACATAAATTACTTGTTATACAAAACAACAAATTTCATTAACACTTACATAACATTGTGTTTTATATTACATTGTTTTTGTTGTTTTGTGGGACAATAACTCCCATACGGTTTGACAATCACAATTGGATTCACAATTAACATATTGTAGTATATAATAATCATTATGGTAGAAAATATATGAATGTATACCAATTTTTATGTGCTATTTATATTAAATCCATCACATCTCTGTGGGCCAGACATACAGCCCAGGGATCCTCCGCTGTATCAACCATTGTATATAATACTATACAATATATATATATACTATACATGTATAAGTATAAGTTATATATATATAAATATACTGTATATAAATCTATATGTACCCTGTCCACAAATGAACGCACTTAGAAATTGCCTGCAATACACGCGTTATTTCACTTCTGTACGTTAAAATAACGCGTGTATTGCAGGCAATTTCTAAGTGCGTTCATTTGTGGACAGGGTACTGTATATAGACAGATAATCCTATTTATTATTGATCCGACATTTGTCCATTAGTTCAATGCGTTCAGTATTACAAACCGTATACTTAGTACAGTCCCGTACGGTGTCTTCCCCGGCGTCGTCCCCGTTCCCGGTCTCGAGCCCTCCCGACTGTACTTTATAGTACTTAAGGCACCGAAACACGCATTCCAGCGATTCCTTGACCATCGCTCTGTACGAGGCGTTGTAATAGCAGTATATGAATGGGTTGTAACTATAATCAGGGTGAAAGTATAATTGGCACACATGGTACATTTGTTATATAGTTAATGTTTTTAAAAAAATAATATTCTATTGTAAGTTATTTAGAAAACTATTATTTAACTTATATTTTTAGGAATATTCTCTAATATATGCTATACAAGAATATTCTATGAAAACAATTTCATATTAACTATTTTGTAAGTTTTATTTTAGTTTTAATTTTTCTTATAATATATAATAAGTTATATTTACCAAACAGAAGACATTGCGAGCCAATGGCACTATAATTCAAGGTAAATAAAATAAACAAAAATTGACATTGATGTTTTTATAAATTACGTAAGCGCTAGTTATTTGATGAATGTTAGATAATTAAGGTTGCATATAAAACTTGCCTATTTAATTAAGCGTAATCAGCATATATATATATTTTTAACATAACGTAAGCTAGTGTTGTTTTTATTATTTTTGTTTTGTCGGGTTAAATATATGCCGCTTAGCTAAGCGTAATTGAAATATCATTATGCTAAATGTCAGTTGGATAGTTAACATATTTAATCAAAATAAACGTAACATGACCA